TCAATGGAGGTGCGCAGCTGAAGCCCTATGTTCCTCTAGGAACTAAAGGATACAATAATAATAATATAAATAATAATAATAAGTAGACTATTTATGATGATAGTTTATATTTTCTTATAAACAGGTGTTTTCAAGAAATGAAAGCTATACTTAAAAGGAAATGCAGACATAACTAAATGAGTCCACCAAACTTTGGCTGTCCCACAAGATGATATGAAATGGAATTTTACAAACTGTTAGTAACATAAAATTATTATTTTAAATTATCACCAAATTTGGATATAAATCAAGAATAAGACTCGATGCTGTACACACCAAAGTTACATGGGGGATTTACTTCAAGCTTTACTTTTTTCCCAAGTACTTGTAATCCATCCAAAACATACTTGGGTTTTTTTTGTTAATGCGAAGACAATATTTCTATATTCCTCGATGTGCTCCATTGAATGATAGTTATCATATTGTTCCCACAAACAAAAGACAAAAACGTCAGCAACCATGTGATTTAACCATAAACCAAATTTTTGTAATTTAAATAATACTTATCCATGCCTGTACAATTGGTGTGTCCTACACAGGTAGGAAAAATATGTATTTTATTAAATTATTATTATTAAGTATGCTAACTAATCGTATATGTAATTTGTCATATTGATGATGCCTGTAAACTGGCGTCCCTCGTGTACAAAATTGAGAATATATTATTATTATTATTGTCGTACAGGCTCTGTACAAAGTGACCTTCAAGATCCATCTGCAAAACAGATTTCAAGCTCATTTCAGTCATCAGGCTTTTCGCTTAGTTGTACTATGAATGATTGGAGCATAGACGCCTTTCCACTGTTATAATATTAGCTGTTATGATAGGTATTCTCTAAAATTTCGGCTGTAGTAGTAGTAGTAGTAGTGATGAATTAAGGAAATAAAAGAAGAAAAAGAAGAAGTATCAGTCAGACTGTCTCAGACTGAATACACTTGACTAGTCGGTCTATCTAGGCAGCCATTTAGTGAAGCTGCTTGAACGAATTCGAGCTCGTTTCCTCTTGGCTTAAACTAGAAATAATGTTCATAACTGTTTCGTCGCCATCTATCCTGCTAGACCCCAGCTTTGGTCACATTACCTGCTGACTCTTTAACCTGCTGAGCCTAACCTTGTGACCAGGAAGCTCTTAATGTCTCCTTAATTAGTGAAGGGAGAATATATCGCCTAAAAGTGTTCAAAGATGTATTGATTAATTCAATTCTGGATAAAATCTATTATGATAAAGTCTCACAGTGTTGTATAGTAATATTTAATGATGAAATTTCAAACACAGTTTATAGCTCATAATCATATCAAATTATTCATATAACTTTCTTACTCCGTTTACATGATTCCATTATTTTTCATCGCTTGATCTGATTATTATTATTATTCCCTTGCTTTCCGATTGGAGCATATGGCCTCAGCAACACACCTCCACTGTGTTCTGTTTTCTGCCATCTTCTTCAGCTGGGTCCACGGTTGACCAAACTCTCTCATCTCCTCATTTCATGATCCCCTGCATGTAACCCTCACATTGACGACCCACTCATCGCTCCTCATTCGGATTCTACTCGATCGATGGCCTGGTATGTGTGATGCAAATTGGCTGCCTCTTAAATGCATACCCGATCCATCCCCATTTTCTCTTACACATTTGTTGGGCAATCGGCTCTTGCATGTTCTGTCTGTCTGTCTCGCATGTTGCATTTTTCCATTACACAGTTTCTTGTTACATATTCTTTCTGGCTATTTGATCTTCAGTATGGGGCCAGCGAAGGCAGCTGTTGATGATAGTCTGCAGTAGTCCGTTGGAAATCCTTTTCGTGATATGTAGTGCAAGTTTCTCACCCGTAGAGAAGAAATGACTGACTTCACATTTGTGCTCAAAATCCGAATCTTGTTGTTTTTGCTGGCTGAGTGCAAAAGATTTCCAAACCGGTTTCAGCTTAATGAAGGCATATCTTACCTTTCAAAATCTGGCTGGATAGATTTGACATCTTCATCCGTTTCGACTGCCTGTGGCTGAGATGATGTTTCCTAGATAAGTGAAAGAAGTAACCTCCGTCAAATCTCTCCCATTGATGGTTATTGGTGCTGATTGTTGTTGCTGCTGATTGGTAGTAGTATTTTCCAAGTTTTCGGTGTGAGTAACGAGTCATTCCTATCGCACATGTTAGGTGTAGATTCTATGAACAAAGATTCAGTAATCAAACTTATATCAATGTATTTATTAACAATGGTAAGAAAAGAGTCATACTACAACCCAATAGTCTGCAATCTGATCCATTCGGCACAGATAAACAAATTGACTACCGAAAGCGAAATGGGTGACATTCATTTGAACTTATGAAATTCTTTGATCTTCTACAACTTTGGGACTTTAATTAATGCAAGCATGCATCCAAAGCAGCTTTCTGTCTTCATAATATTATTGCTAGTAAATATAGGATTAGGTAGGTAAGTAAATGGTTGGTTTTTCAGAAACTTCATGCATTTATTCCCTTAATGAATTTGAATAAAACAAGAACAACAGTGGTTTGTGCAGAATTATATCGTACCATCATTGTTTATTTTGTTGGCTTCTCATCAGCTGCTTACAGCCTAAACAAATTATGAAGTTTAAGTATAGAAAAAATTTGAAATACTCGCAAATTTTTCATGATGTCAGCTGACGTAAGGTTCCACAATTAATGAACAGTGCTCAGAAAATTACGCTTATATAGTTTTTACACAGGTAGTTCAATTTTAAACAAAATAAATGTGTACATACAATGGTAAAGGAGTTACATAATGAAGACAAGAGATGCGTAAGATGCTGAGTGACTAGTAAATTAGGAAACAATGTACTGAGTTCAGCTCAATTCATAAAAACAAGAGACAAGCGTAATCAAACTCTATCAAAGAGTTGGGGTTAGAGCCAAAGATTACGCAATCAAATGAGAGAATAAAAACATCCATTCACCATGGCAAGGAAAGATTAATAACTGCTTCTTTCTGAACACATAAATCTGGTTTCAAGCGCTTGATAGAAATTGCTTCGGCCAACTTGAGGAGAATCGAGTTCTTTTGTTTATTGATAATTTTAAAGGATTTCACGATTTCTACCTCATGACCCGTATCGAGATGTCTGGTAATATCGCTTCCATGAGACGTAGGCTTTACGGCATATGTTCAGAAAATCAGAGATGAGCCCTTCTTTCTATTCTCCCAATGTAACTGCTCCGACAGATACACGTAAATTTGCATACACAGTTGGGTTTAACATGAGAAGGGTATCTGTTGACTCTTGACTGCACCAAAGAACATATTGTTCGATGGACGGGAACCAACTTAGCTGCAGGATAGGCTCTGGCTAGTGACGTACTCAGTCTTCTGTTGAGTAATTTTATGAGCACTCTTCACTAATTGAGGAACTTTCTGTCAACTGACATCATTAAAAATTCGCAAATATGTCAACACTTTTCTGTACATGAACTTCATATTAATTTATTTAGGCTGTTAGCAGCAGCTTATTTTATTTTATTTATTTATTTTATTTAATATATTTTGCTGATGGTGTTTAAAGTGCAGTAAACTATAATCATTTGATTAAGGACACAGAAGACTTCAGCAAAGCTTAGACAAGAATTGTAAGACCAACACTTTGTAACATGATGGTTTATTGAATCACCAAGAGACCAATGATGACAATAAAAGATAAGGTATCAAGGAAATTCAACACATTATGATAGAACTGATAAAATCCAGTCTATGCCAACACTAAAGACTAGACTCATGATAATAGTTACTCCCAAATGACCAAGCAATGTACCTAGGAGCTCAATCGTGATCTCGAGTAGCTCAGTGGTGAAATCGCTTACTACAGTACTCGGTAGTTCAGATAAGAATTCCAGAATGAAATGAGTTCCTTCAAGTTTTCATATATGCTTTGCTGACAATGAAGCAGGAAACCTAAAGCCAGGGCCTCTTGCAAGTACCTTCAACCATTTAATATAGAATTCTGTTAATGATTTGTCTTGAAACGTGTATTCCACTCATGTTGTGGCAGGTGCTGCTGATAATATTTATCAATAGAATATAAAGAGCCGTTCATCGGCATAAAAACATTAAATAACATGGAGATACATTCGATTTCTGAGAAGGCAAATGATAGAGCGTTGTGGAGATACACGGGAGACGTGAAAAAAACATAAAGTAACACAACATGAAGTTCAGAAGTATCACAACACGAAGATCTGTTCAAATGGTGAGTTGACGACAAGGTAGAAAGAGATACCAATTTTTAAATAAACATTCCTTTACCAAATCTTCGTCATTTACTGTTTCAATGTATTTCCATCGATTTGGGAGGAATTTTACCTTCAAAATGGGAAGTATTACATAACAATCGTCAAACTTCTCAGTGTTTATAAATTACAGATGAAATCAGTTGATGAACGAAATACTTTAAATGACTCGTTACACATTTTGTTAATCAATGAACTCTATGATTCGTTTCCTACTAAACCGTAATGCAATAATTTTTCTTTTGATATAAAATATGCTGTAATTTTGTTAAAGAATCAGACACATCTGTGTATCTAGAATGCTTTGATTTTATAAGCTTGGTTAATTAAATTCCATTGTTCAATTACCTTTAATCTACACTAAGTATAAAATCAACACTCTCATGTTTTATAATAGCAGTTTCAGTTTACCACAGTGTTTCACGTGATGACCTTGAGGTTTAAATTCCAGTAGCCTAATCAAATTTAGACAGAACAAAAAGATTAACGCACTTAAGTGGAATACAGACATGATGGTTTCTTCAGCTTTATATAAAATCTTTACTTTAATATCTAGTGAAACAGTAATATTACCATTTAAATTAAGTTAAAAAGCTCTCATATTCAATACAATTTAGTCTTATATCAATTAAAATAAATCAAATCTTCACTTTTTGAAACAGAACAAATACGGGCAGTAATACAAGAAAATGGAAAGTATATGTGAAAAGTCCTCATCTTCAGGAGTCTCTAATGATTCACATAAACTTTTAATGAAGTGCAATTATCCGTCTACTTTAACTCTATCCTCTAGTAAACCGGATAAATTAACACAAAAATTAGTAGATTGTAGAGCAAGCAGTGAAATGATACCGAATCTATCGAATGGATTAGGTGATTCAGAACATTGTTTATCTCTACCAAATATTACAAGGAATAAAGCGTTGAATAACTCAGATTTATACAAACAAAAAGATGCAGAACTACTAAGTACAGAGTATAAATTACATCGTGCTAATTATTTATCTCTTCAGCCTAGAAATCATAATAATTATTACCTGAGTATATCACGTATACGTGAAGAAAAAGTCTTCAAATATTTCTTATCCGATCATGAGAATAAAATGATGAAACCGGATCGCATATCATTCATAAATTCTAAAAAACACAATAAAGATATTTTATGTCCATTAACAACCGGTGAACCAACACTGTTCATCACTAATTCACAAGGTTTAAACCGGTTAACAAATTTCGTTACTAATGACAACGATTGTCAAGTCAACAAAAATTTCAGTTTAAATAAACTAACAGAGAAGCAATCATCAAAAGCGACAACATCTAATTATGACTATAGTAATATTGAAGATAACAAAAAATATCAAACAGACATTTTAAGCTGGTCTGATGTATTACAATATTGTAATGAAGAAGATTTAGGCGGAAATACTGCTCACTTTGGAAATGAATATTGTGACAAGATGAATTTATTAAATAACCAGTCTAGTCTTGATGAAATTGAAACATTGAATCGAGAAACAAGTAAAACAAACTTCAGTGATATTCGACTTACAAAAAAAGACTTTCCAGATTTATTATTTAGTGATATAAAAATATCTGATTTGTTTGGTGATGATAATATTGGTGATAATGATGACTATAGTGAGGTTATGGTTGGTGATAATAGAAAGAAAAAGATATTTTTAAATTCTTCTACAATGACTGAAGACTTAACTTCAGTAGATGATGATGAATTGCATCTAAAACATGACAGTGAAAAGTGTGAATCTAAGCCTAATGATAATGAGACAAATGCTGTAGATGAAGGAAGCACTAATAATCATGAAGAGGATAACACTTCGTCAAGTGTTCCACTGAAACATAAATGTTTTAAAATATTTCCGTGTATTGCAAGAAATGATGACAAATGATTATTTGTCAGTGAATAGCATTTCAAGTGAAAAGAATGAAACTATGAAGCCAGTTAAAAATAGACGTCTACGAAATGAGTATCCTATCAGTGATAATAGGGATTCTTGTGTTTTTAAGTTTTATTATTTTTTTCAGGTATATGATAGTTTTCTGTTATTCACTGTGAGGGTGTTAAATGAAGCTAAAAAAAATATGAAATTCTTTCATTTAGAGAAAAACAGGAAAAATACATTTAATTCCTGAAATTTCTAATTGTTTCATTGTTCATGGCTGTAATCCAGTTTTAAAACTACCCCGCAATGTGTTGTAATTTTAAGTTGTGAATGGCTGATGTTAGAGTCACAGAACTCTGCACGAAGTGAATCTTTCCTGCTTAGCGAGATTCGGAAAAGTCCACATTCAAGCAGAAGAATGAGATGTAATGTAACTGAAATGGAAGTAGATTGGTGAAGACTTGGAGAATCTGAAGGTGACATGGAGGCATTTTATGACGCTTCTACAACGCCTGATTTTGAGCAGCCTGAGGACCTTAGACAAGCAGTTCACGTCTTACTTTATCCAATAACAAGGGGCACTATAAAATCTGAAAGATGTTCTATTCAACATGCTGATTTCAGACGTAAATTTTTTAATGTCATTCTAATCAATACCATTATTACACTCTCAAAGGTAGCTGTGACAGTCAAGTAGTGGCAGGTATTGAAACTGTGCTTTCTAGTTGTTTGCTAATATTGTCAATCCATGTCTACTAATTTGAGGCCAGTCTTGTTAACTGACAGAGTTTCCGAATTGTATGTCGAAAATGACCACTGGAAATTTATCACAGGTATTTTCTTAGAAATACCGTTCAAATAAATGCTTCCATCAGGACCTATCTTATTTTTGTCTATCCGTAGTTTTACATTCTCAATCGGTGTACTGCTTGACAGTAGTTCACGACTACTGTTGACATCGGTTAAACATCGTCTTTAATGGAACAAGTGTATTTATTTCTTGTCATCTTCAGAACCTGGAAATCTTTGATATTCTTCAACTTTATATTCTCCCTCTTCGTCCAGTCTTCGTCCAAAACGATCTCAGTGAATATCCTCTTATTTGTGTTTCTCTGAAGTATTTTAGCTTGAAATGGTACACATTAGTATAAACTCTGAGTCGATAACTCAGTTACTCATTATCCCTATAATGTTGCATCCGTATTTTAGTCATTAGTTTCAGAATGCCTACTGGATTATTTCAACAATAAATGTGTCATCAATATGCTGCTTTCAGTTATAGTGAGTAACTTTCCTTTAAACCAGTGATATACATGTCACTCTGCATGTTTTGTAATGATTCAACTCAAGCAGATCATCAGCGAATGGGAAATATATTTCAAGGACATATGTTAACTCCATAGATTTTGGAATTATTCAGCTGTCTTCCATATGAAATATCCTTCAGTTCTCTGTTGGACTTTATGACTTTTGATAAGTCTGGGTTTCAAAAACAGGTTAATGACAAACGTTTCAAAATATCCCACAGATGTGAGAATAAATCAACCCAATTTTAAAACTGATTTCTTAAAAGTGTTCACCAGGTACTGGAAAGTATAAAACAAAAGTTAAATAGCTGACTGACCGCAGAAATCAGTTTGTAAAGAGTCCTACACCTAAGCTTTTACACCTACTTATTCTCATTGACAGACTGTCACAGAAATCAGTACTAAGGCTTTTTGAACACGAAACGAAATATTATACATGGTCTGTCTTTCATATGACAACATATGATACCATATATATATATATATATATATATATATATATATATATATATATATATTCAAGTATTGATTTTTGTAGCAATTTTGTTTGATTGGTTCGAGTTCACCATGAGCTGACATCAGTGATAGAACCATTGGAAAACCTGCAGGGACTACTGGACAGCTGTTTTGTCCTAGGTTTTCCAGTTGTTCTCTAACTGATGTGGGCTCATGATAAAATCTTCCAACCAATATATATATATATATATATATGCTATTCTAATTGGCAGAAGTTGGAATTTATAGACCATTCGGTAGGGTCCCAGTGACCGAATATTTCACGAGCTCACCTTATAACTGCGTCGGTAGCACCGTGGTTAGGATTCTCGCCAACCATGCATATGGCCCGAGGTTCAATCCCCTGCCAACGTACACTTGATATCTATGGTCGGCCTGCGAAATTTGGGCAACCGATACCCATGCTGAAAATTCCATACTTGTACCAAAAGTACAGTGTGAAATCAAGCTGTAATCAAAAAAGAAAAAAATCCTAGATTCGAACTCTGGTGGAACGCCTCAAACAAGGATGAAACAGCTGTCCAATACTCGTAGGTTTTCCAATGGTCCTACAATCGACTTCAGCTCATGATGACATCCTGCATTCTGATTCTCTCAAACAAATATGTATTGAGTTCATAGAGATAATTAATGTATGGCTGCGGTGCGAGGTGTTTATCTACAAATATTCATTACTTAACACTTCACATCACCAGGCTATATATCACTTATCCTTGTGACTGAATCACGAACTTTACAATATCAACATAGATCATCACCCATTGAGTAGCTGTTTTATTGTCGACCATCTTGCAGACATGTTACACACTAAACTGAATTTAAAATTCCACTTTAAACAATTATTTTGTCTGATAATACTCAAACGTTAAAAGCAGTCCATCACATCACTTCACTTCCAAATGACAATGAATTTCTGTTGGGATTATTAATCAGACACTATGCACTGATATGTATCATTAGAGACTATGGATTCTTATTTATGGAATAAAGCTTTGAATTTTCATGCAAAAGGCAAAATTTGTTTAGTTTCTTGACTTATAAAAATCTGAAGATCCTGCCCTCCACAATATCAATTTATGACAAAATGTACAATGAAAACGATCACAAAGTTGAACTTAATTAAAATTTGACTGAATACACTCGAATCTTTGCTGCTTATCGAAACATTCCTCACGCGAAGTGAGTAAACATAATGAAGAATGAAAAGAAATGATCAAATTATGAGGAGGACAGATAACACCATTGTATTTGCATAACTTCACCGTATTAATTAATCAGTTCGAAACCATGTCTGAGAATGAAAACTAAACAATAAATAAAAGGTTGTGCTGATAACTTCAAGTCTAAACCAAGGGGTGATGAGATATTCATCATCATTTATTAGCTTTATTCAAGACTGCCTTGAAGTTTGTGTGTAAACTTATGCTGACCTTTTAGAATATACTGGATTTGCTTGACCTGTCTGTCATAATCTAAGCGACGTTTTAAAATTACCATTTGTCTACATAAGCCATAACCTTCATTGAAAAATGGAAATGCTGAAATAAAGCCATTTGTTTCTGACCTGATGGTGACGGAAGTCAGATTCTGGACATAAATTATGCCTTTTTTGATAATAATAAGAATTATTATAGCTTTATTGCATGCATTATTTTGAGAGGTAGCATAGAATTCTCAACGCACTTAATTGCAGAGTATTTCCCAATGATACAAGATCTTCAGGTAAAGTAGCCACCGACGGTATTATCATGTCATGGAGTGCTGCTCCTCCTGAAGCAAGACTCAGTCCTCTACAACACCTTTTCTTCCAGTCAATTGAGAAATGCACAGCATTGCGTTGACAGTTAACGAAAAATGTGCATATATTCATGTAGCATTTCAAACATACAATTGTGTGACTGAAACAATAAGAAATCAACAAGTCTATGCATAATGTTGAGTGAAAATTTAGGTAGTCCAGTGATTTAAGCAGTCCGTCTTATACATGTATAGTTGTAATAAAGTTCAGTGCTGTAATTTCACCTTAGTGTACTTTTTTTGGTAACGTTCAATATATTGAAGGAAGCATTTGTTTTAGAATAACTTTTCTCAATCCATTTAGCACATAAGGTGGAGAAATTCAAACGATGAATATAGTCAATAATCTGATCAAACTGTCAAAATGGTTTAGAAAAATACCAGGTTGTTCAGTGTTTAAAACGCTTCCTTCTATGCTCACAAAACGGGAATAACACGAGTTGTGAAAGATGATTTCATAACAGTATAAAATGCGTATTGTAACAATTTGGACAAACATGTATTGTATGGTATTTATCCCGTTTCAAAGCTGTTACCTGTGCATCAACAGTAACATATAGATAATACACTGTTTCTACTTACTTATTAGCCCATGTACATTACAAGAAAATGCTTGGATAAACGGAATTACATCTCTTTGTCAGTAATTAACTGAAGAACTGCCATAATGATAATGTTTATTCAGTCTTTTTGAAAAATTACTGACGAAACCAACTAGAATCATTGCTTACTTTAATGAATATAGATAAAGCTTTCGAAATGTAAACATTGCGGCATTAAAAAATTCCTAAGTTTCTCTACATATCACAGTAATGGATGTTGACCAAATTATATATGTCTTATCATCAACGCACCATTCGCACAGAACTCCTTCCTGTGGTACTTCTGGACTTTATGTTTCTCTCGTGTCTCCTGTGTATTTATACAAAGCTGTATCATTTGCGTTCTCTAAAATCAAATGTATCTCCCTGCTTTATGATGTTATTATGCCAATGAACGTCTCCTCATATACTACTGATAAATCGTATCAGTAGCACTCACCACAGTATGATCTACATTAATAAGCAAACCACTCGTACCTACGAAAAGATAAGCGTCTACAGTTAGACAGACATTGAAGGGTGGCTATTATTGCCAAGCACAAATCATACTCACTAGCTGAATTCTCAATAGTTTTAGGCCAGCTCCACCGGATTACCTCTCAACACCTTCAAGCACTGTTTGTGTTTAATTAGATGAACTGAAATACTCTAAATTCTTTCCAATTTAGGTTGCAATGACATTTCGTCGGCTCATGGACATTCAAAGAAGGTATTAGATGTTTGGAAGCAATCGGGAGGGAGCCTTGGACCTAGGTTTCGTGCTAATTGGCACTCATCAGCAAGG